TGACAATCTTCTAGCTTGTCTGAGGAATAAATAAATAGTTAACAATCCAATATTGCGTTTTTATGTGCTCAATATATGAATTTTTGAGGTCAATATTGAAATAGGTGTTTAATAAAATCTGATAAAAATATTCAGCTGATAGTAATGTTCTTTTTTTATATACGCTTCCAGTAAAATGTTTGGACACACTTCCCCGTTCAATTCAAAGTGTGTCCAGTCTTGACATGAAGCTCTGAGATATTCTTCTGAAAGAATCTTGACCAAGATGCATACACAGGGGAGAGTTTTCTTTTGAAACTTAGTTTTATGTCATGAAATCTCCTGTTACTTATTGGCTGACATACACCGTTACATTTTACCTACAATAAGCGGACAAAATACTGTCCTGGCCATTTATCAGTCTACTCTAATCCTTACCATCGATACTGTCACTGTCCTCCTCCATGTTGTCATACACTACTCCAAGAACACTGCTCACAACATCTGGCAGGTCAGCTGAGTTTTCTACTGTGGCAGGGGCAATGGTTTCAGCAGTAAGGAGCTGATCGTCCTGAGTGATTCCAGGCTGGAGAATGGTGAGCAGGGCTGTTGAGTGTGACAAGGGGACGAGGACTGCTGAGCACAGAAGGCTGCTGTAATTCACCTCAGCTAGCTGAGAGAAAAAAGGACAAGTAAATCAGTAAATGCACACATGCGAGGAGTTTTCAAAATAGTATATTTTTGTAAATCATTCCGCTGGTCCATGTTCAGGTACTGAGATGCTAATATGCTGCAAAACCTGCTCCTGACCCCCAAATCCTTACATCCTGTTTATGTGTTAAATGGCAAAATGAACAACTGGACACAAAACTAAATGCCATTAATCATAAATCTAAGACATCCGCTTCATTAAGCGTTACTGTGTGAGGAAGTGTTGAAATCAGACTTTGTGGTGAACTATCTGTCGCTGTTCCTCCAAATGAGATTAGGTGTCAACTGGAAATATTTGATGTATTTCTCACTGCTGAATTAGCGCCCTGTCAGTTGACTCCTAGGGACAAACATCAAAACCTGATATATATTACTGATATGTTAATTACAGCATCTGAAAAACTTACATTATTAAACACCACCGTAGCATTACAGAGGCAATTTGTTCTGGAAGTGGAAAGCCCATCAACAACTCCTGCTGGTTTTAGGAGCTACTCTGTCGCTTTTCCAAAGAGAAGTGCTTTAAGAGGTTTACACTGTAGTCTTAGATGGGACAACTGTACTATTCTAACTGACAAACTATTTGCACATGTGCACCACAGTGTTTGGATTTCTCACCATGTGCAGAGCATGAGTAGACAGTTTGGTTAGGAGATGCTGGAAGACCGCTTCCTGATCACTGCTGCTGGAGCAACGAAGCACCCATGACTCAGTGGAAGTCTGTGTCAGTGATGAGGCGTCCCACCCCAGTATCACTCCTTTCAGACATACTTCCACCGGCTCTGGGAGCAGCCTCTGTCTGCAAGACACTGGCTCAACTTTGATGCCACAGCTTTGTGTCACCTCACCTGGTTGGATGAAGAATAACACAACAGTCGTGAATAATGGCAGTTGATTTTCAGCTCTGTTGTGAATGTGCTTCATTTCCCTTGCCTGTTATTTATGCATCTCCTGTCACATGCACTGTTGTGGCTGGCTCAAGTTAAGACTTAAATGTCTTTATAATCTTGATTTGTTTCTTTTGACACAAGACAAGGTTATAAAGCCCCTTATCGTTCTTCTTTATCATCTGAATATATATTCATTATATACCTTGGTAGATAAATACTGAATAACATAAAACCGGTAGACAAAGAGGATGTGTGGTATGTCTCACAATTATCAGATCATACCTATAGACTATACATAGATCACATTAAGTTTTACCAGCTGCACCATTTCAGTCTGGAATTATAACAATGTTACCAACCTTGCCCCCACCGCAGATTGCCTTGTATGACAGGAAAAACTAGGCGGTAGAGCCTCTCAGAAGACAGCAAGTATCCGATGCTGGACTTGAACGCAAAGGTCTCTTGTCTGAAGCCTGAGTACCACCCACCTGAGCCAGGACCTCAGACAGCTTGTCAGAGCCAAAGTTATCCTCACACCTAAAGACCTGCAATAAGATAAATGGTCACAGTTGCTTACATCAAAGTAATGGGGACTGGAACAGCTCAGGTAATTATCGGTTACTTATGCTTACATGTTTATAGCCATTTTAAAATCCACAATGACCGGTTACATACTGAAGTAGGAAGACCTAAGTGTGCATATACACATCACAGACATCATGAATACTGTGATACATTATATGATGTATTTATGACATGTTTTTATCATTTGGTTGTATAGTGCTGCTACAACACATGAATTTCTCCCAGGATAAACTAAGCAAGTATGTGTCTGCATATCGTTCTTGTCCAGTTTGTTGTGATACTGTCTTGAATACTAACGTACTGCCTGCTGTACCCACCTGCACATGTGATCTACTGTCAATCCAGTGCAGCACAACCTGTCGTTGAACCAGCATGTCCTGAAGGCCCCTGGATATAATGTGCTCTGTCACATCTGTATGTCCATCATGGTTTCCTAAAGAAATATAATCCAAAAGTTGTGCCCTGGAACGTGGACACTCCGACACTAAAAACACAAAATTCTTCCCGTTGAGTGAAATATCATCATCCTGTGAAACACTGGGTTTTCCAGCTCGACTCGACTTCCTGGGCCTCAGGGACAGTTTAGTAGGAGAAGTGATGTCTGGTCTGTCCCATTGGAAGTCCAGCAGGGTTTCTTTGAGGGCATTCTGAACGGATGCGGACTGAGTGGATTGCTGCTTTTGCCGAGAAAGGTACACGTTATCCTTTTCGTGAAACTTGGCATCAAACTCTAGCTCAAAGTCCTCGAAGCTCTTGTGCCGAAGCTCCTTGAAGTCTGATACCTTCGATATAAGGCTGGCATTACGGCCCCTTTTGGACTGAAAGAATCTATAACCCCAGCGTACTTTCTCAAATCCATACTTGTAGCCGAAATGCAACAGAATTTGTAGTATTCCTCGTTTCACAAAGTGATTCCTAACATTTAGCCGATCACATGAATCCTGATCCCCAAAACCAACATCGATAACAAAAACCAAGTTGTGTAAAGCCATGCCGTATACTGTGCTCCCGAAGACAGTGAGTGGCTCCAGAGCGCTTAACTTAACGAAAAGCCATAAAAACAGTCCAGTCTCGATAAAATGAATCCAGTTCCACTGTCGCTATACTGAATTTGGTCCAAGGGGTTGCTCATTGTGCGTGGACACGGAGACGCCATTCAACGCTATAGCTGCCAACATTAGCTAGCTAGCTTCATGCTTCTAACGTTACATTATTTTGCCAACTAGCTGGTTGTTGAGGCTACCAAGACTCAAGTTAACGTAACTGCAACTTAACTTCAAAGTGTGACACAGGCTATTTGCAGTAGCTTTGCGCCTACGCTAGAAGCCTACATAAAGAAACATGTCCGAGCTAATTAAAACGTTATTAAGAATACTTATTGTGTTCATATAACAATATTCACCATTTTATGGCAGTCGTCTTTTCTTGACTGTTGGCGCTTCTCGTAAAAGAGCCCATCCATTTGATATCATTGGTTACAACTTGTAATTACAGCATTCTCATTGGTTTAAAACAAGGCGGAACCTAATCGACGATTCGCCAACAGTCCTACGCTAATTTTTTTTTATTGGGCAAATGCATCATCAATCAAATGTGGACCAACTACAACACATTCCATAAGAACAAACAAGCATACATAGCAGCCAGGCAAGGATTGCATTTAAACTTTAAAACTGATCGTTGTTCTTAGCTAGTGCATTAACTACATCAAAATGTAACGGGTTACTTGAAGGTCAAATAAACGAGTCGGTTTGTTTTTCAGAGAGTTATCAATATTGTTGCATTTTGTGTGTAAAACTCTATAAATTTCTTAAAAAATGTCAGCATTCTAATGGTTTCATCCTGCACAGTTATATTACAAATATACAAAAATATTAGGTTATTTGAATAAAAATATAGGCTGCTAAAAGTGTTTTTTTGTTTGTTTGTTTGTTTTTGAAGGCTTGAATTTAAAACTGAGTTTGAACATTTTGGGACATCCAAAAACTGGACAGACAACAATGCTGTCACTGCACCACAAGCATCTCTTTAACTGATCTTGAGAGATGAGACACACCAAACTTCAAAAATTCAAGAATCTTATGAATAGCTTTTGCCAGTGTAAATATGTCAGGCTGCTTTGGTTTATCAGTTGATGTATGTTGCATTTTGTTTCAGCTGCCTGCCCTGTTTGTGTTTTAAGGCAAGAGAAAAAATAAAAAATGGGAAAAGGACTGAAGTTTTATTGGTGCGCTACATATTTCCTCTGGTGTGCCAAGTAAAGCAGTGAGAATGAGAGCTTGGCATCTTCAACCAGTCTGTCTCTCAATGCCTAAAATGGAAAAACTCTCATTCAAGTTTAACTTTGAAGTGAAGCTGAATGTTGTGTCTTCTTGATGATGGTGCTGAAGCTGGATGTCCACTTAAAGTCCTGCGGGATTGTGGAGTTCATTAACGTGAAGGCCACTATTGCTGTTTTACTGCTTTCAGCGTTTTCATATTAGTTAAGTGACTCCACATACTGGATATCATCTTTATGTACATAGACCCAGTTGCTGTCTGTTGTCTACATGAGCAGAGTAAGTGTAGCATCTTTTGCTTTCTCCCCAGGGATAGAGGACAAACCATAAAAAGTTCAATTTAAGGAAACTGAACACTGGGAGAGGAGGTATGTGGGTCACCTTCTGATTTGCATCTGTAATCACCTCTTTTCTACAGCACCAGGGGGAGACGAAGAGCTTAAAAAGGCTTTGAACTGGAGAGAGATGAAAGAAGCGCACAACATGTCCCAGAGTCTGTTTTCCCACCAGACTCTGCCCAAGTCATAAGACCAGGATGTAGGTCAGGGATACTTTCAGGACTTTACTGCTCTTAAGGCAGCTATTACACTTGCACGCACAGATGGACATAGTATGTATGTTAGTGTGTTAACTCTAGGTCACATCTGCCTTTAGCAAATTACTTTTAGGTTTTTATAGTGTTATAGAGCTTTTTTTTGCCATGTTAGTTGTGTGGCACTAGAGATGACAATGTCCCTGTCTGTCAGTCTGTTGATTCAACACTGTGGTCCAGATTTGTATTTGTATGTATACAGTGCCTTGCGAAAGTATTCGGCCCCCTTGAACTTTGCGACCTTTTGCCACATTTCAGGCTTCAAACATAAAGATATAAAACTGTAATTTTTTGTGAAGAATCAACAACAAGTGGGACACAATCATGAAGTAGAACGAAATTTATTGGATATTTCAAACTTTTCTAACAAATAAAAAACTGAAAAATTGGCCGTGCAAAATTATTCAGCCCCCTTAAGTTAATACTTTGTAGCGCCACCTTTTGCTGCGATTACAGCTGTAAGTCACTTGGGGTATGTCTCTATCAGTTTTGCACATCAAGAGACTGAAATTTTTGCCCATTCCGCCTTGCAAAACAGCTCGAGCTCAGTGAGGTTGGATAGAGAGCGTTTGTGAACAGCAGTTTTCAGTTCTTCCCACAGATTCTCGATTGGATTCAGGTCTGGACTTTGACTTGGCCATTCTAACACCTGGATATGTTTATTTGTGAACCATTCCAATGTAGATTTTGCTTTATGTTTTGGATCATTGTCTTGTTGGAAGACAAATCTCCATCCCAGTCTCAGGTCTTTTGCAGACACCATCAGGTTTCCTTCCAGAATGGTCCTGTATTTGGCTCCATCCATCTTCCCATCAATTTTAACCATCTTCCCTGTCCCTGCTGAAGAAAAGCAGGCCCAAACCAGGATGCTGCCACCACCATGTTTGACAGTGGGGATGGTGTGTTCAGGGTGATGAGCTGTGTTGCTTTTACGCCAAACATAACATTTTGCATTGTTGCCAAAAAGTTCGATTTTGGTTTCATCTGACCAGAGCACCTTCTTCCACATGTTTGGTGTGTCTCCCAGGTGGCTTGTGGCAAACTTTAAACGACACTTTTTATGGATATCTTTAAGAAATGGCTTTCTTCTTGCCACTCTTCCATAAAGGCCAGATTTGTGCAGTATACGACTGATTGTTGTCCTATGGACAGAGTCTCCCACCTCAGCTGTAGATCTCTGCAGTTCATCCAGAGTGATCATGGGCCTCTTGGCTGCATCTCTGATCAGTCTTCTCCTTGTATGAGCTGAAAGTTTAGAGGGACGGCCAGGTCTTGGTAGATTTGCAGTGGTCTGATACTCCTTCCATTTCAATATTATCGCTTGCACAGTGCTCCTTGGGATGTTTAAAGCTTGGGAAATCTTTTTGTATCCAAATCCGGCTTTAAACTTCTCCACAACAGTATCTCGGACCTGCCTGGTGTGTTCCTTGTTCTTCATGATGCTCTCTGCGCTTTAAACAGACCTCTGAGACTATCACAGTGCAGGTGCATTTATACGGAGACTTGATTACACACAGGTGGATTCTATTTATCATCATTAGTCATTTAGGTCAACATTGGATCATTCAGAGATCCTCACTGAACTTCTGGAGAGAGTTTGCTGCACTGAAAGTAAAGGGGCTGAATAATTTTGCACGCCCAATTATTCAGTTTTTTATTTGTTAAAAAAGTTTGAAATATCCAATAAATTTCGTTCCACTTCATGATTGTGTCCCACTTGTTGTTGATTCTTCACAAAAAATTACAGTTTTATATCTTTATGTTTGAAGCCTGAAATGTGGCAAAAGGTCGCAAAGTTCAAGGGGGCCGAATACTTTCGCAAGGCACTGTAAAAATTACTGCACCTATTTAGGTTCAAGTGTGCTGATGAACACTGTGGGTGTACGGTCAGACACAACAGTTACTAAAAAAATATGACCCAATTTTTGTTCACTGTAAAATCATTGTAAGTTACAGGCTTTTCAAAAATCCAAACAAGAAATACATACCATGTACTTTATCACTATATAGTCCATTGTAAAATACAGGAAGTAAATATCAATAGCTATAAGATAAAAGGTAAAAAGGTAAAAACTAACTGAATATGGAACAGCCATTCAGAAATAATTCAGGCATTATGGTACATAAAACATAAATGCACTTTGAACAACAGGTTTTACTATCTTAAAAAGCAAATCCTTCTGTTCCCACATGCCAGCTTCCTGGCTTGTTTTTATTTTACAAAAGGGCTAGAGAACTGCTCTATTTGGGGACATTTACTGCTTGTTTTTTGGGACATCTTGTAATAATGTGGCACTCACAGTACTTCCCAATTAAATTATGTGTGGTGCACAAAAAGATGCCAAATAAAATAAAACTCTCTCTCTCAAACACACACACACACACACACACACACACACACACACACACAGACCAAGTTGTCCTTTTCACATACAAGCTAGTAATTATACAACCATTTGTATTTTAAGATACACTGACATTTCTGGCATGTATCGTTATCAGAGTACTCTATGATTCATTAGGAAAATTCCCACTTATACTGCCATAACCTTAAACAAAGTGTGGCACTCTAATCCATCTTGTTGTCTGTTGCTTATTTACAAAGGTCTCCTAAAGAATTCCCCTTTTACACTTAAAATAGTGCCTGAATTAATCTTGTAACTCTGGGAAGACCCACATACACACTAAACAGAGTGTTTCCTGCAGATACAGATCTGTACGTGCTTTACTTTTGTATTTTACCGTTGATCCCAAATATAGGAAAACATTTGGATGAATCAACATGTAAGAAAACCTGTACAGCTGGAGGTTGTGCATTGGTGTGTTTGCTGTCAGCTCCATCTCATCTCACCCGGTGTGTCAGACACCAGTTAACGCACTGTCACTACAGTAGTGCACAATTGTGGTGTTACCTTTGCCTTCCTACCTACAAGAAAAAAAAAAACACTGGCACTTTAACAAGATTATGTATTTTCAGCTTCTGCTTATCTTCAGGCAGTTTGATCCTCTGAGGTTATGTTGTAGCTGGTCAATCTTAGGATCCGTACCATTTGCTCCATGTGCTACAGGTTTTATTAACAGATGATTGTCCTTCTATGCTATTTGGTCTGCTGCCAAGTTGTTCATGAACATATTGCATGTTACAGGGTCTTCCTGATGCTTTTACAACTCAACCGGGTCTGCTTTTTGCCATGTGTCTTAATAGGTAAACATTTAAAGTTTGTTGAATATGAGGGCAAAGGTAGTGAAACCTTTTGTTTTCAGACACCAGACTTTAAATGTATTTTGAGGCAAGAAGTGTGTTGTTAGCCCTCAGAAAATTGTCAAACTCTGGCCTATTAATTATACCAGGTTACAATTACAATCATACAGTGGAACTAATTAGAAAGGAAGGTCTTTGTACATAAGATTTGGCAGGAATAAAATAACATTAGATTTATTTCAGTTGTTTGAGTGATTCTTGCACACTGCCTGATCTCCTCTCCAAGAGAACTAAGTTGTTGGAGGAAGAGGACAGAATGTGAAGGTATGAATTGGATCAATCTGTCACTCTGGCACATGATGACAAATATGTTTAGCTTCTCTCTGTCTCTCACTTGCACTGAAAAGTGTCCCACACTCTTTTAACAAAATCTCAGTGATACAAATGCTTCAAGAGTTGTGGAGTCAAGCATAAAAACAATGCATTGTACATGGTTAAGTATGACAGTTCTATAAACACAATGACTAATGTGTGTTTATGTCAGAGATGAGGAGAGAGATGTGGAGACATTTCTTGTGTTAGCAGCTCAGTTTTCTCTGTATTCCTTATATGCTGTAAGACAAAAAGTGGCCTTTGCTAAAAGATGGGAAGTTGTGTTTTGATACAGCAAATCCCATTGATTTCCCATAAGCTAAAAGATGACAGTATTGTTGCAAAAAGTAAAATATATGAGAAGTGTGTTATTGGAATATTTTAGGCAATATTCTGTATGTTTCTTATTGTCAGCCAACACCAACAATGATTCAAACAAGTGTCACCAGTGTAGGCTGAAATAACTTATTTCTTTGTGCCATAAACTGTCATTATTGTCCAAAGACTACTAAAAACACATAAATGAGTCACCTTGCTGCACTGTCTGACATGTTCCTTCATTATGATGAACAATGGAAGCATAGTCAGTGCCAAATACACTGTCCTCATGCCATAAATACACATTAGGACACCAAATATGTATTAACCCATAGCTGAAAATAGGTCCTAACAAATACACTATTTATTCTTATCTGAGTTATAGGCCTATTTGCTAAAAAAAACAAAAACATGTCCAGCTGTTTTATGAAATTATACCTTTTAAAACAATGACACTATATACATATAGTGTGTTTGTGACTTGTTAAAACATCTGCAGTGGGAACAAATGAGCTTTCAGCTGAGTGCCACAGACAGGGAAGCCAAAAAGTGTTGGGAAACTGATATATTGTTTGATTTAGTATTTTCATGTTAGAAATAAGAAAGCCACAGAATTACACCAACCTCAGCCTTCAACTTGTGAAGGCTGCAGTGGCTCCCTGCAAGGCTCCACAGGGCGCTTCTCCCAGCAGGCGGGCGTTGCCGTGGCTGAGTCACTGATGAAAATCTGACATTACTGAAAATGTGTCACCAGCCCAGCAAGCATGCAGCAGATGCAGGTCGAGTACAGAGTGCTTACATATGGGACAGACAGCACTTTATCTTAACAATACCACTGAAGATTGACAATTAGTAAAAGCTACATATCAATTCCCACAATCTCATAACTTCCTCTTTTCTATTCGTACACTTGTCTGACCTAAAATGTCTGTCATACATCAACATTTTAATGTCACTGATGTTTCCTCAGATCCGCTGCCTTGATGAGGAGATGCATTCCTCTTTACACTGTTTTTGCTTTCTTGTCTTTTTCAAAGACAAATCAGTTATTAATGCACATTTCTCACTGAAGTAATTTTAACTAAAATTGCACTTGCTAAATAGAAATTTAAAAAATGGAAAATAGACAATGACTCAAAATACTTGAAAATATTTATTAAAGTACATATTAACACTTTAATATATCTATATCTATAGATATAGATATAAAGTAAAACAAGTATAAAGGTTATGATTTTCTTTGAAAGTCAAGGTGACTTCAGAAGTCAAACAGACCAACAAAATATCACATCTACAGCTCCACTTGGTTATGAACAGAATAAAAGAATAAATAAAGATTTTTTAATGGCATTTTTGCTTAGGAAATGAAGCAAGGGCAGTTTTCATTCATTGTGAAGCTGGAAAAGAAGTTTTGTAATGGTACTCTACTGCTTCACTAACAGCCAGGCCACTCTCGACGCTCGATACATTGCTTGGTCAAAGTATTTACAGTGTGGCATATGTCACAACACTAACATTATTTAACAGTCCTGGCTATGGTAACTGGTCAAGTAGAAAAATCTGGATTGAAACAAAAATACCTTTACAACTTTAAAATGGAAAAATATCAACCATCTTTCATCATTCAAGTTTGTCATCTACAGTAGAAAAGGAATACATTTGAAGAGTGGTGTGTTCAACACTGCATCATCTGCTACCTTTACACTCATATCTATACATCACTATAACCAGCCTGTGGCACAGGTACCAATCTTTACAGATATGCATCAAATGCATCTTCAAACTATACACTGTAAGTTGATATGTTAGTATATATTAAATGCAGACTTTTGTATGACAGCAGCAGCTTACATACACAGGCAGGCTGGCACACAGGCCAGTTTGGTTCAGTTTAGTTGGCCTCCATCTGAAGCGGCGTCAAGGCAAAGCGAGGAACATCTAACCCAGTCCTCAGTGCGTAGAGTCGGAATCACTGGAGTCCAGGCTGGCTTGTGTGGATGTGGGGGTGCAGTTGTGATGGGCAGCGTGGAGGGTCTGTGTGCTCCGCCGCAGGTTCTCCAGGGACTGAAGGAAGGAGCGGCGGGCCCTCTCCTCCTCCAGGGGTGATGAACCTTCTTCTTCTACCTCTGCGATCTCAGCAAAGGTGACAGGCTGTGTTTTAAAGCGAGCCTCACGAGGTCGGCGGGAGCGGCTCTTGCCCTTTGCTGGGCCTTTGGGGACTGGAAGCTGCTGGGGGAACTCCTCCATGGCTGAGGCCATAAGGTGAGCTGGCAGGACGTGGAAGCCAGAGGCCTCAATAACCATCTGACGCACAGCAGCCATTGGCAGAACAGGAGCCCAAATGGGTATGTAATTAGATCTAGTTTGAATCAAAGGTAACACTAAACAGGAGTGCCTGCTTAGACACAGTCTCAGACTTGGCTTTTCTTGCTCTTCCTGGTGTGTTTGAAGAAAAGTCTCAATCTCAGGAAAGACAAAGCCAGAGCCCATCCAAATTCAAACCAAACAAACACTCCTCAAACCTCCAAGTCCAGGAACACTGACGATGACCAGGAAAGAAAAACTGCTCTTAAGCTGCTCTGCTCTTCACTCGTCAGTGTGAGTGCTTCTGTTTCAGCTCTGCTGGCGTCTGAGGTCTCTTTTCTCTCTGGTGTTTTCTTGTACTGTGTTTCTGAATCTCAATCTGCTGGAGCTTATGTCACCAGCAGCTCTAGCACTCTCTTTTATAGCAGCTCACTACCCATACAGTGTCTCTTTATTTCTTTTTCTCTCACCCCTGATTCCCTGTCTTCCAAGTCCCTCCCACTCCCCGCCTCCAGAGCAGTCACAACCCCCTGTGTGTGTGTGTTGGGTGTGACATTTGTAGTGGGGGAGAGACATGTAGAGACAGTGGAAGAAAATGACAGCGTAGATAGAAATGGACATGGTAAACCTGGATAGACACAGGAAGAATACGAAGCACTGTTAGTATAATAAATGTAAACAAAGAATATCATTAGCCGCCTTTAGCACTGTGAGCCACTAGAACACTTGTAGCGCGATTTCTTTTGGACACAACATAAAAAGATGGTGTTCTTCCAGCATAACTGAATCTAAAGCCTGCAAAGTGTTTTGACATCACAGATGGGATCAGACAACATTCAGCGAGAAATTTGACATCCAGAACTTTCACCGACAACCACAAACCACCAGGCTGCAATGCTATGGAAACCTCTCAGTGCGCAAGCTTTTGTATTCAAATGAAGTCAATTAATAAGCAATGTTTACTTGCACTTTATTGATAGGGTGGGTTATGGATTGGGCTGGTCTAACACAAAGATAAACACACAGGCACTACCTTGGAGGGAAAGGCACGACTAGGAATTTGTTATTGATTTCAACAAGACCTGCATCCTGGGAGATGCTCTGACCCAGTTGTCAACCATTGGCTCTTGTCAAAGTCACTCAGATCCTTACGCTGCCCTTTTTTTTTCCTGCTTCCAACACATTAGCTTCAAGGACCGAATGTTCGCTTTCTGCCTAGTATACCCCACACACTGATAGGTGCCATTGTAATGATATAATCAGTGTTTTTCACTTCACCTGGCAGTGGTCATGATGTTATGGCTGATTGGTGTATACAATAAAAAAAATTTAAAATAGTTGCAAAAATGTACTGTATGCCCACTGAAAAGTCTGATATTTACAATAATATTATAATAGTCAGTTTTGGTATATCATGGCAAAATCAACATGCAATGCTTTGAGAACAAAAATAGGGATGTTACTAAATGAATGGATCTGATCCTGCTTTAAACATCCATCATCTTATAAATACAACTGTGCTGGTATTAGAGTGAAACTATATAAGATTTACATTAACAATAGTTTGCATCAGTTTAAAGGCTGCAGTGTAGTCTGTTGCATACATAATATGAATATCCTTATGTATTTGGACTTTTAAAATGTTTGAAGATGAGAGATCAGGGTGACGGGTCACAGACAGTCACACAGGATGCTCAGTCTTATATGTAGTGAGGCAGACACAGAGACTCGTTAGCAGTCCAGCATCATCCCTGTCAACATGTCAGGTCATCTTAACTGTAAGTGTAATGGCTATATTTATCAGTGTCACTGCTGACGGGGGCACGTCAGGGTTGGTGTAGATTGTCAGGCTCTGTTACATTCACTGACCATGTGCCACCATAGATTTCTTCACTCACATGTACAAATGAGATGTTTTCTGTTCTGTTTGGAATCATATTTCCTCAGTTCCCATCTGAAATGTTGATTTTTGACAGAAATTCAATTCTGAACCATTTAACATGCACTGATTTGCACACAGACATTAGAAAACTTTACTGCTGGTCAGTGAAAACTTAGAGAAACATAACCTACCAAAACATGAGACAAGTATCCATCCATTATCTATACCACTTATTCCTGAATAGGGTCGCGGAGCGACTGAAGCCAAACGAGAGGTGGGGTCCTATAAATAATAATAATAGTATGTACATACACAGAGCAGGGCAAGGCAACATACTGTATACACAAACACCAGAATCTCAGGGGCAAACCAGGGTGTCACCCATAGTTACTAATATTAACTTAAATATCACTAATAGTGGCATGTGTGTCATGCAGTGCACAAGCAGTTGCACTGAGGTGACAACTTTTTCAGACTTCATCGGCTTTCCTGTGGCATGGCCGCAGAGTGTTCAGGAGTGACGTTATGGGCTAACAGCCCCTGTTCTGTCATGCATTCACTGGATGACACCTCAGCAGGGTTAGACAGAGACCAGGTCATCCTGTTTCTTATCTCACACAAGCATGCAAGCAAATCAGTGGGATTGTAAGTCCTGGATTTGAACTTGCAAATAGTCTTATGCTCTATTCCGAGTTGAACTAAGTTCACTTATGATCAAGTCAGCAGCTGCAGTTCAGGTGACACCATGACCCTTTTTTTTACTGTGTCTGTATAGGGGTCTGTGTGAATGTTGCACAGTGTCTATGCATACATGTATGTTCTTGCTTGATTTTTCATGTTACATCATCACCCATTTGATTGTGTGTTTGCGTTCTATAATATGCTTACAAGGTATGAGAAGTGTCTTGAGCTGGGACGCAATAGGCCAGAAGCTGTGATTGTGTCAACTTGTTTTCTTAAAACACACTGCCTGTTTTGTACACGAGGATGCAATCTGGCAAAAACAATAATCAGAAAACCCTTTGCGCTGCACTCATCTTCCAGTCAGGTTGTTTAATCAGTTTGTTTTTAAGTGACTGTCCTAACGAATATCATACAGTCCATATTCTATTTGATCTTACCGTCCAACTGGCTCATTTTGATGTGAAGGAGCAGCTGTTCTACTCCAAGCCCCTACTGGATGTCCAAACCCAGCACCCTTCGACTAAGGCTAAGTCCAGCCACCATGAGAAGGATGCAGTCCATCATTTTCCAGCAGACCATCATGGCCTCAGACTTGGACGTGTTAACTCTCATCCCTGCTGCTTCACACTCAGCTACAAACCGCCCCACCGCGTGCTGGAGGTCATGGTCTGATGAAGCCAGCAAAACCACATCATCAGCAAATAGCAGAGATGCAATTCTGAGGTCCAAGGCCTGAGAAATTTTCAGATCACGTGATTTTTGATGTACTTCAAACGTAAAGGTAAAGTCTCAACACAATTCCAGTGGTTTAGTCCCAGTGTTCATTTACTACATAAAATGCTTGTTGGATGGAAATCATGCTTTTGGTCCTTCATACTTTTGGAGTTGATCCGTGTATCACTAGTGCCTGTAATCCTACTGGTGTCCAAATGTGAAGTGGGAGAGTGGAAAATGGAAAAAACAATATCTTCAGAATAAATTAATGTGCTCAAAAGAAAAATCCTTCAGATTATCTTGGTTGATTTGTCTCTAGTTCATACAACATTATTTAGTGCGCTACAGCTAGATCATTGCACTGACTGTGGTCTATTAGCCCCATGACTACTTTGTGACCTATCTTCTTTTAGGAAAATTAAACAAATGCAGTTACAAAGGTCGTCCTGGGTCCTGCCTTTTTCTATCTCATCCTACATCCTGAACCCAACAGGTGATGGCATTTCGAGCAGAATACGCCCAGCGGGGAGCATGGGCAGAGGCAGATGAGAAATAATCCCCTCCAGTCCTCTCCTTAATCACCTATGCCACCCTTGTCTGAGTCCGAACACACAAACATGCACTTTTACAGTTGGCTTGAAACACACATCCAGTATATACTGTATTCATCTTGTACATTTCTAAGAACATTTCTTATTTTGTCTTTAAAACTCCAATTCATATATTCCAACAATAAAATGACCACATAATGTGAAAGAGGCTTCTTGCAATGATGAACTCACAAGGAATTGCTGCACAACTCTACAGCTTTTCAGTGGTTTTTAGCTTCTTTTGGCTCACTCTATAACACAGTATACAATACAGTCTCTTGACTGTGCTAACTGTTCAGCACAAACAATTCTGGTGGCAAAAACAGAAATTGATGCCCAAGAGACTGATTCATCACAGTCCTTAGGATAACACTAGGCAGCAGTGGAGGGAAGGCATGAACTATTTGGATTATAGCTATTATAACTAATAGAAAAGTTATAATCTTAACTACTGACAAGAGTTGTATTCTGTCATTTAAATCACATTTTATTAAAATGTTTACATTGTTACAATATGCCAATTACTGCTATACTGCTACTATATATTCTAAGTTTCCAGTATTCAAAATAAACTGTAATAAATGTTTATTAGTCAAGGAGTCAAGGAGTCAAGGTTTAGGTCATTCTTCTCAGTCCTGAATTTGTTGTTATTAGTTACTGTGTGTCACACTAAGGTTACAGAAGACAGAAGGAGTGTGTACACTGCTAGCAACAACAGTGCACTGAAACAGCAAAGGTAGACAGAGTAAGTGAGAAAATTAAAAACTCAAAGAAGAAAGCAAGCCAGGGAAACAGTTTAAGAAGAAAAAAAAACACCTTAGGAAGAGCAAACAGGGGCATTTTATTTCTTAAATGTTGCTAAATTGTTTTGAACACATCTTCAATCTGTCTGTATTTTATATCTTACACGGTGGGTGAGGTGTAAGGTTGACTATAAATGTGGTCATGGAGATACACATGCGCTCAACAGTTCTTTAAATTACAGTCTGTTTAAACGTGTTGTTTACGGTGCAGACAAAGGAGCCAAGAAGCCCGGAGCCAACACTCAGCATGATCCTCTCTACCAACCAACACTGTGCAGCCTTTGGCATTACAGTGATCTTCTTCTTGTGCAATCAAACTGAAACTTGATTCAATTAGTCATGTTCGCTCGTGACTCACAAACAACTCTGAAACAACAAAACATTACTCTTCTTACACTCATAAGAACACAGTGAATGTCTCTCAAAGTTTATTTCACTTGCTGGTGTAATCTTATAAAGAGCGGTATATTTATTTCTGTTTGAAAATGTAAAAGAGGGCAGCGGAGAAAATGCTGATATTCATCAATAAACGCGTCATCCTCTGAGGGTTGGCTGTGTTCCCCTACCCTCCTTATTTTGAGACTGAGTCAGTGAGACCCCATAGAGCAACATAGTTATTTATAGGCTGAGAAGTGGAAACTGGGAAGCATTCCCATCCAGGAACCCTGTGTCTGTTTACACTGCACAGCCACATGCACCCTCAGATAACAGATAGTTTCTCAGATAGAACAAAATGCTTTTAGTCTTTTTTTAT